TCATTCATCTAAATACCTCAAAAAGCAGAAAGCTGATGCAGATTTTCTTTTAAACTAAAAACAAAAACAAGGAATGGTTCCCTCAGAACAATATCAAAATGATTCACCATAAGAGCTCAGAATTAACATGGTTCAACTAAACATCATCAGGAACCAGACCATTCGACACCAGCAAAAAAATACACATCATAACCATAACCTCTCCTAGTTACCTCAAATATCATGATATATTCAGCAAAAACTCAATTTTTAAAAAATTGGTATACCAGGTTATACTTTAAACTGAGTTATATTTTATCATGAAAATTTCTAAAAGAAAAAATAATTTCATTTTGAAATGTCCTCAGTTTGGTTTTCCATTCAAATAATAGATAGCCAAACTCAACAAAACAAATATCAACAATTCAGCATCAAGGATTCTAGATCAGCATCAAACCCGGCACATAATAAGAAATTATAAGGAGCCACATCCATTAGCATGAAATAAAAAATAGTATTGTGGAAGCAAACTAGCAGCAAGATCTGTGTTGATAAATTTTACAATTTAATTCCAAATTAAAATGAAAATCTGACAATGGAAAGAGGATCGGTGCGGAAGTCAATATGAAGTATATAGTGCCTAGAAAACAAAATTAATGAGCAAATACAGGAGAAATAAACTAAAAATCATAATTTAAACGAATAACTGAGAAAGATGATGGGAGGTTAATATGCACCGTATTCTGTCCAAGAGGCGCCCTAAGAGCAAGTTGATCGAAGGTCAGGCATTCTCCTCCGGCGTTAAGAATCCTTGCCCTAGCAGTCTCTGTGAACCTCAAAGCCGTCACCTTCATGACTGGAATTTCATGCACCCTCTTATCGTCAGTAACAGTTCCGACGATCACCGCAATATTATTTTCCTGGCCAGAGACATCATTTCATCAATAACAAAACTATCGTAACAAGGAAGAATAGCGACTGAAATCATCCGACGGATCGAAAAACGAACCTTTCCCCCCATGAATTTTACAAGCCTCCTCAGAGAGAGAGGAGGCTTATTGACCTTACTCATAAAGAGCCTTTTAAGAATCACAGCATTGAACTTACTCCCCGTCCTCCTTACCAGAAACCTGTAGAGCTGATAATATAGGAAAGTAAATGAATTAATCGACTCGGCGAATAATCAGAGACGTACGACAAGAGGAAGGATTAATATTCATTCCCTCAGATCTGATAATTACCTTGACGAGAAGCTTGAGGTAAACATCATCGCTCTTGGGAGCGGTGCGCTTCGTCTTTTTGCTCCGTCCGCCGGCAATAAGATCGATACCCTATCCATCCAAGCGGGACAATTAGTTTCAATCGATGTTGGTATATGAAGAGTGCTTCAGTACGCTCCTGGGTGCAGAGATTATACATACCATTGATAGTCCCCGGAGCTCCTCCTCCTGCGGCGGCTATTGGTTTAGGGTTTACGGGAGGAGGCAGTTGGGTTTTATTGGGGGCTAGGGCACGGGAATGGGAGCTCGTGTCATGGGGAGGCGTGCGTGTGGATTTTTTTTTTTTTAAGAGTTTTTTTTCCTTATTTGATTTAATTTAATTTAATATCATTATTTAACTTAAACTCATCAATTCTCACTAGATTCGGTCTCGCGAGGAACACTATTAATATAAGTGGTCTTCCTAAGTAAATTCGATGTTTTAGGGTCCTTTTCGTCATCTGAGGTTGTCTGATAAGTTCGTCGATCATCGTACAAATTTAACTTCGGTTCATGTGCATCACGAGCTAAATACCGAGCGATCATCGCCTCAGTGACGACCAGAGTCTAGCAGAATGCTCACGATAGCGAGTCGCTCGTCACACGTCAGATGTTTCCTTATTGTTCTTTCAATTCCTACAGGAACTCAACGTTAGTTTCAATATGTTAGTTTTAATTGACTCAACTTAACCTTGAGGATTCGAAACCATCCAAATACTAGTTCCTACAATGAGTCAAAAAATAGCTCGAATAGTGTGGGTCACAGTACTATTTCTCTATGAGAGTTAAATAGAAAATACTAAGGCTAGACCTTAGACTCTAAAGAGATGAAAAAGAAAGCCTCATAAAAATGAGGTCAACAATGGTAGAAAAAAGGGTGGGGGAAACCTATATGGAACAAAATGTTGAGCCTTTCTATTTTTTTTTAGTTGAAGATGTTTCCATAATATCTTGCCTATTAAGGATACCCTAAAGCTAAAAGGTTTAAAAGACCCGTCCTGTTGTTTGTTTTATAGAAGAGAGGAAGAATGCCGACAATATATTATGTTTAGTTGCTCTAGACGACAAAAGGTATGACAAACAATTATTAACACTCTAAAGCCACAAAACTTATATGTTGGTCTAATTTACTGGATAGCTCAGTTGATTGGATGGGGTAAAAGCTGAGGTGATTCCTTTCATTATTTGTTGGTTTATTTGGATGATAAAAAATAGGTGTAAATATGAAGAAAAGCAAAGTACTAAGAAGGAGATCCACACAAACATTATGATTCATATTCTTAAACTCATAAAATTTTGGAAGTTCAACATTAAAGGTAAAGTTCTGTCCTTCAAACCAGCTGCTGGGAATCTATCTGAAACTAAACGAATGATTCAGAAAGTCTAACTCGAGAAAGCCACAAGCACATTGGATCAAAATCAACATTGATGGAAGCTACAAATATAGAAAGGCTGGTATGGGAGGGATCTTTAAAGACCACTCTGGGAAATTTCTTCTGTACTGCTTTTCTCCTATTTTAGCTGATAAAGCACTACAAGCTGAGGCACCATCTGCTCTCTGGGATCTGAAAAATTGTTGTGCATCTAAGTTGGGATAAAGTGCATCTAGAACTTGATTTTAAAGCTCTAGTACAAATGTTAAACAACCACATAAACACTCTTTGATGATAAATATTTACGTACTTAATACACACCCAGAATTGCGTGCGTAATAACCCCGCAAAAACCTCCGCTTCGCGGTTATTAGGGGTTTCTTGAGTATTAATTCTAATAACATATAACCCTAATAAACTTTCAATAACCTTTGCGGGCTCTATTTTGATGTTATTCATAGGTTATTATGAAGGTATTGCGGGGTTAATGGAGTACGCACGCAGAGTTACGTGCGTATTACGGACGTGAGTATTTCCCTTCCTTGGCACATCCTTTACTAGTTAAAGCAAATTAAAAGATTAGCTTCCAAACTTCACATTATATACATCTTTATATCTAGGGAGGGAAACCAATGTGCAGACCGGCTTGCCAAAGAATTGTTCTCTCTTATGGTCCTGTTGTTAATGCTTTTCCCATGTTTAAGCTTAGCATTTTGATACATGGGGATAATCTTCCTATGGCTTATGTAAGATGTAAAACTACTTTTGGTCATCAATATAACCTCCTACTTTTGGTTAAAAATGTAAATAAATATATAAGGATTCGGTGGTATGCATGTAAATGACCAGTTTTTTTTTATAAATTTAAAATATTAATTTGAAAATGATATTTAATACCGTAAAATAAATGTTGTAGAATAAAAATAAATATTTCAATAAGTTAAAACGTCAACAATACCGTAAAATCACTCCAATAACACCGTACAAGAAGGTCAACTCAAATGCTATAACATTCCAATAAAGCCGGAGTTTTCCTCCAATAACGCCACAAGAACATGTCAATAATCGCTCAATAACACTGCAATAATATCTTAATAACACCACTAAAACAATCAAAATCAAGGTGTTATTGGCGTGCTTTTTATGCGGCGTTGTTATTAGTGTTTTTTTTTGCAAAATAACATCGTACGTATACGCCAATAATGTTGGATAACTCCAATAACACTACGCATAAATCCAATAACATCACGGAAAAAACTAATACCGCCGAAAAAAAAAGCCAATAAGGCGGCGGAGAACTCCAATAACACTGCGAAAAACACAAATACTGTCGAAATACAACGCCAATAACGCTGTGGAGAATCACGGATAACTCTAATGACACCGCGGAAAACCCCAATACCACCGAAAAACAACGCCAATAGGACCACAGAGAGCTCCAATAACATCGCAAAAAGCAACAATACATGCCATTCAATTCCTATTTGTTTACACAATAACAACTAAATTTTATTTTTTATATGTGTCATCCACATAATTTTAAGCATGCATTCATGATTGAAGAGATATTTATAATGAAATATCTTTAATTTTTGATGAATTTAATTAATTATTTAAATATTTGAGAAATAATTTCATATGCATTGTGGTAAAATTAATCAAACCTTCAGAGTGACAAAGGCTCGAATTGACTCGTTTACACCTCTAGGCACGTGAGTGTTTAAAGCAATTGGGTTAAGAAAATATTATATAATATATGAAGGTTTTATGTATAATTTTGCTTTAAAAAAATGTTAAAATATATACTCTATTTGTTTAAAGTTAAAGTAATAATATCATTCATGTGATATGAATGATTTTGAGTTGTAAAAATATAAAAACCAATTTTAGGTGTTAGATATTTAAATATATAAAAAATGGGTGGTT